TACTACTACGTTACTACTACTACTACTCCTATTCCTACTCCTACTCCTACTCCTACTCCTACAACTCCTGCTACTACTACTACGACTACGACTACTACTACTACTGCTACTACTACTACTACTACTACTACTACTTCATCTGTTTCTGCTACTGCTACTAGTTACTACGACGACGACGACTGATAGTCGTCCTGCCGCTGCCTTGCTGCTGCTGCCGCCGCCACTAGAAGAAACACAGCTGCAACAAGTAATACTAAAGCAACTGACATTGAAAGCCAACAGGGCGGCTAGTGGCAAGAAACGAAGAACAGATCACAGACACACGGCTATGGCAAACAGATAGTAATGGATTGCGAAATTCTCATTACTGCGCTCATATCTGTGCAAAGGATATACCCATTATACCCGATACACCTACTTCACACCAGAAAGTGGCATGAGTAAGGGGAGGTCTATCTCTATCTTCCACTGACTCTCCGAGGTTCATCATGACTTCGAGGTCGGGCCGTGGCATCGGCTGATTCAGCTCGGGCTGGGACTCTCCCCCTCTCGGAATCTTGCAAAGTTGCCCGCAGTACATGCAGGCATCCAAAGCCAGCCTCAGAAGCTCGTAGACCATAAGGACCATGAGATGAGAAGGATGTTTCTGCCAGACTCGGACAAGCTTCACGCACTCTGGATTGGCAATACACCCCTCCTCTACGCCAGAGCCCACCATGCCACACTTCGCGGGAACCCAAGCGGTATCGTACGAGCCATGCCACAGCCGCTGATACTCGTGGCCCTGGTGGTCCACAACGCAGACCCGGCCCAGAACCACCCGAAGCTCGAGGATAACGCCGTTGTGGCCTCCATATGCCAAGACCTTGTTAATGTCCCGGGAAACATAAACACCGCGTCCAAGCATGCCGGTGCTTGACGCGCGGAATCCCTGCTTCCGAATACTCTCTGCATTCTCGATTGTCGTCCCATGGTATGCCCGGATCTCCGTCATGCTAGAGGGGGGTTCCCGCCTCTTTGCTGCACAATGAGAGACGGCTTTCACCATGGCTACAGGGCAAGCACCCGCCACCACGAAAAAACCAAAAAATAAGAGGCCGAAGAAGAGGAAGCGAAGCATACCAGAGAAGAGCACTAACTTTACAAGGACAAAGGCCCCGACCCACACCCATGCAAAGAAGTAGAAGCCGCAGAGCAACAAGTAGTGGGCAATGAGAAGGTACTTCACTGCCACTGGTGCTTTTGTGCGCTGTATGATGCTATCCTGGGTTCTTGTCAGGGAAATCAATATAAGGAAACCCTATTATTCACTATAGACCCCTATTTAATTGCTATAGATCCCTAGTATGGTGATCCAGTATCCGCATGAGACCGGGCCATCACTGTCGCAGCCTTCCAGGGTTTCGACTCTCTCAACTAGACGGCAGGCAAGGCTTCACGGTTTATAGGGGCGAGAACCATAGCATACTAGAGAATGCACCACAGAATGCAAGACTATATGCCTGTGACCAGTTAACATGATCTTCGAGATGCTTTTGAACACGTAAGTGCTTCAGTATGCGTATGCGTATGTTTGTGTGTTGGCATGTATGCATGCATGTCTGTATGTATGTCTATGTGTATGTATGTGTATGTAAATATGTATACGTACGTGTGTGTATATATATATATGCATGTACATACATATGCACATGAAGCTATGCACACATGTGTACCGATGTAGGTATGCAGGCAGAGGTGTAGGTGTATGCGTGTCCGTAAGAAAGAAAGTAAGTATGTATGTTTGTTTGTTTGCATTTGTATGCATGTCAAAAAGTAAAAACAAACAATTCGAGAGAAGGAGACACAGAGAGAGAGAGAGAGAGAGAAAAAGTAAGTGACTGAGAGCGAGAATCATATGGATACATATATATATATAAGATATAGATATAGATATAATGTAGAAATATCCAGGTTGACAAAAAGACAGATAGGTACATGGATAGAGGGGTGGGAGGGCGTGTCCTCCCTCGTGACCCGGATTTGCAAGAATGTATCAAGCATAGCAACAGTCACAGTCCTCATTCTTTTTGGCTCCCGCGCGTGGCAGTCTCGAACAAATCCTAGATAGCTAGATGTCGCCAAGATGCCTGAGGTAACAGTCACAAAGATGGGGTGGTTCGGAGTGCGAATCCACAACAAAGTTTATGCCCTTGCCCGAGCGGTGACGCTAGGAACTGAAACTCCGAACATGACACAAAGATGAAGCGGATGAGGATGATGATGATGATGGCGCCTCGAACTTGCCAACAAGATCCATAGACAGATAGACATATAGATGGATAGACAGATAGATAGATAGATACGAGTAGATAGATAGATAAATAGATAGGTAGATGGATTGGTCGATCGATCGATGGATCGATAGATCAGAAAGACAGATAGACAGAGAGAGAGAGAGAGAGATAGATAGGTAGATCGACAGATCAGATAGATAGATAGACAGACAGACAGATAGACAGATAGACCGAGATAGATAGATAGATGGATAGATCGATAGGTAGATAGATAGATAGATAGACAGTTAGCTAGATAGCTAGGTAGCTAGATAGATACAAAGATAGATAGATAGATAGATAGATAAAGAGATGGATACATAGATGGACAAATGGATAGATGGAAAGACAGATAGATAATAAAACGATAGATCGATAAATCGATAGATAGATAGATAAATAGATCGACAGATGATAGAAAGATGGGTTATAGATGCATGCAAAAATCAATGTTTTTCTATATAGGCGGAAATATGTGTATATATATATATATGCATGAATGTATGTATGTATGTATGTATGAATGGACGTATGTATGTATGTATGTATGTATGTGTACATGTATATATATATATCACTATTTTTATGCATCTATAATGAGATGCATTTTGTTAGTCATTATTTAATTCTACATACCTACATACATACATACATACATACATACATACGTACGTACGTACGTACGTACGTACGTACGTACGTACGTACGTACATAGATACCATTACATGCATGCATACATACATTCATACATACATACATACACACAGACATAAACACACACACACACATTAATGACATCAACAATAATGAGCGCAACCATCATAATAATCATAATAGTAGAATGCAGCCTGCCAGGGTTGAAGTCGAAGGCTCTCATCCAGCACCGAGCGCGATGACGTGAGCAGGGGCCGAAGGACGCGAAACGGTCCTACGGAGCCTGGCTTCTTCCTCGAACTGTGGGATATGGTCTGGGACCCTGGGTTTCGGGTTCTATGTTCTGAGCTCAAGGATTTCAAGTCCCCACTTACTAGCTACAAGAAACCTCCTCCAGATTAGTGGAGTCTCTCAAGGTACAAGGGCACCATCAACAAATCCGTCAGCCACAGCACCAGGTGGACCAGCGGTACGACAACATAGGGAACGCGTGTTGGGAGCTTGTTCAAGCAAATGGGCAAAGGTAGAAGGCCGTCGAACTGCACGTCCATCTCTGGGTAATAGGGCCTGCACAAGATGCTACAAGCCCGCCAGGAAAAGCACTACCTGATACAAAAGAGAATTGGAATTTCGAACTCACCGCCTTAGAACATCCAAGTCCTCACAAGCCCAGCAGTACCTCCACGGTCCCACTAGCAACAGCAATCGGAGGCACATCCAGACCCAGCATCTCCCCAGCAGGACGCAGAGTCGCCGGAGCCGTCCATTGAAGAAGTTCTTCCCGTGCCATTGCATAACTCCCTGCCCTCTGATCTTCTGAGCTTGGGCCACCTACCCTGCGGATTTGACACCTTGGCGCAAGCGATTCGTAGTTGCTTCCTCGCGAGGCCCACAACCAGGCAAGCAAGGTCTGGAAAGTTGAGGCTCAGGTGGACAGACAACCCCGGATGTGCAGTGCAACAAACACCAAGGCATCGCAGGAACCACCGGGCCAGCTGATTTGATTGAAGCCTAAAGTACAGTATCTGCACATGAACATCCGATGAGGTCGCGAATCAGTCTGCTGTGCCTTGGAACGGCATGGCTCGAAGCAAAGCTTGGCTCCAGGCTTCTTTGCCAGGCACGATGCAATGAGCGATCGAAGCTAAGGTGTAGAGTAGCAGCTATGTGCCGAACTATCTCTGAATATATTTACCTGCCATCTATCCTTCTATCCGTCTATCTGCCGCTGCTTATCTGCCTGTCTGCCTGCGTGTCTGTCTGTCTGCCTGCCTATCTACCTGTCTGACTATCTTTGCTTCTTTCTATCTATGCGGTACAAATGTATGATTGGGCACACATGCATGCGAATAGGGAGGCATTACAAGACGCTCCGGCTCCATGGATGCAACGCCTTCTGAGCTCTGCGCTTTGTTGAGAAATAGCTCAGCAACATTCTGCCGGCCTTGCTCCTGTTCTACATGCATGACAGATCTCATGCCTAGAGCCAGGGTAGGAACAGGCAGCAGGAGTTCGGCATCATGCCTCCGAGGCGTCGTTTCGATGCATGAACGCGCCTGTTGATGTTGTTGTTGCTGCCGCTGTTGTTGCCGTTCTTGTTGTTCTTACTTGCTCATGTCGGTGTTACTACACTAGCAGTGGTGGTGGTTGTGGTGGTGGTCAAAGTAGCAACAGCAACAGCACCAGAAGCACCAGCAGCAGCAAGCTACCGCAGCAGCAGCAGCAGCAGCAGCAGGAGTGGCAGCAGCAGGAGCAGAAGTAGTAGTAGCAGCAGAGTAGTAGTCGTCGTCCTTGTCGTCATCGCAGTAGCAGTAGCAGCGCTAGCAGCAGCAGGAGCACTGTAGTGGTTAGGTGGTGGGTGTGACAGTGGGGGTGATCGTGGTGGTGGCAGCGGTCATGGCAGTGGTGGTGGTAGTGGCGGTGACAGCAGTAGTAGTAGTAGTAGGCGCCCCCCCGCCTACCAACCACCTCTGCTGCCAACCCTCTTAAGAGCACGTTCGTTTTACTCGGTATTTACGGTACGTTCGTCCTGTCATACCACTTCTTCTTGCCTCAAAATCCACTGCGCGACTTTGATAAATTCGGCTTCGGAT